CTCCTCAAGCTAGTATAACAGTATTGTTTTATTCACTAGTATTGTTGTTGTTATTATTTTTTTTTTTGCTTTTTCGCTGTGGTGTTTGCAAACCGTGTCTATTTATGTACATATGTACATAAGTTTGCGTATGGGTATTTGCATATTTGGCATGTTGTTTGCTGGTTTTCGAGTGCGAAATGCCTTGCATACTTTTATGCGCCGGCATGCGGTAATGGTCTGCTGCACAATTTTAATTAAGTGCACAGATTTTTACTTTGTCCGCACTTGTTTTCGTTAATTTTTTCTCTTATTTTTCGTTAAAAAAAAAACACTGTCCTGAAGCGTTTCTTTTACATACACACATATCTACAAACAATACAATTTTGCTCACTTCCTCTGCTCTACTTTTTTTTTTGCTTTTTGTCGACATTTTTTGTGGTGATTGTGTTGTGTGACAAGCCCTTTTTTGGCCGCGGGTAATGAAGTGGTTAGACTTTATTAATTTTCTGTCTACCCTGCATGGGTTGCGGTGCAGAAAAAGTAGGTTTAAGCTGGGTTTAAAGTAATTTTCAAATTGGTGGTAAGAACTTATTAAATGTGCAATTGTTTGCAAGCATTTTCGCGCATGGATCTATTCCAATATAGCAAAGTATAAAAGTGTAGAAAATATAAAAACGCAGCATATGGCAAATTGGAATAATAGAAGAAGTTTACATTTTTCCCTGAACTACAGTGTATTTTAATAAATTAAGTATTTAAAATTCTCAAAAAAAAAACTTAATATATATACAATTACTGACTTCTTTTTTTTAAAAGACATTTTGGCAAGTTCTGGCTACTTTTATTTGTTTAAAATATGTTTCTTTTTTATAAGAAAATATAACATACTAATTTTGTAAAAGATTTATAAAAATTCGACGAGATCTAACAAATGTTGATAAACATTTTAAACAGATTTTCGGGAATTGTTTTGAGTATCCAGTTTTGTAGCCCATTAAAATTTAGTGAATTTATGAAGTGCAAGTTTGAAGTAGTTTGGACTTACCGCTGATTTTTGACGATTTTTTGTTTGAGCATTTTCTTCCATACAAAGTATGTTCAAAATTTTTTTTTGTATAGAGAAAATGAGCAACACCTTCCACAAAACAAACTTACCAAAAATCAACGGAAAAGCTACTTAAAATGTGCACTTTGAATTGAATTGTCTACAAAACTGAATACTCAGAATTTTTCTCAAAAATCGAACTAAAAAACTCAAAATTTTCATGAGATTCTGTCGAATTTTAATAATTTTGATTTTTTTTCGGGAATTGGTATTATTTTTATAACTTCCCTAAATTCAAGTTAGAATCGCTTCATCAAAAATACAAGAATGATAGACTGCAATATAGCGAGAGTACCAGTTTGACAGAATAAAACATAGCCAAAATCATATTCTGTGTGAAGATTCCCGCTTGCAACGTTGAAGAGAATTTGATTAAAAAAGATTACAACTGTGACGGCTGACATGATTGGCTTGTAGTTATAAAAGTTGTAGGCAGAAATGTGATTTTATGAACTTACATTTCAAGCATGCCGCCATGCGTATGTTATCTAATTCCGTTGTCGAGTTGTAGCCAATTTCAAAACGTCTATCTTGCCAAATGTGTAAGCAAAGTCATATATGATCTGACGTTTTAATAGTTAGATTATACCACAAAATTCGCTCAAATATGTACATCGAAATACGTGCATATGTCCCAAATAACTGTTTAGCATTAAAAAGTAATCTAAATGCAACAAACTAAACTTTTTAGTGGCACCAAGCCATAGCTTCACAACAAAGAAGAACATCCAAGCAATGAAATGCAGTGGCACATTTAAGCAACATTTTTGTAGTTTTTTTTTTTTTCTTTTTTTGGTACTTTTAATAGTCATCAAATACAAAATAATGTTGCTTGTGGCAACATCGTGCATTGGCTCTGCAGCGCGCGGCTTTGTTGTGGCCAAATTGCATTTTTATTACAATTTGCTTGCGTTACGTATACGCCACGGGATACCACGAATCCGCAACATACTCGTGCGTCTTCGAAGAGTTAAGACAATGTGAAAGCATGCTGACGTTAGTGCCAAACGCCGTCATGTACATAAGTGTGAGCACGCGTCTACATGTGTGTATGTATGTATGTATGTATGTATGCATGTATATATGTATGTGTGACAGCAACAGCATTTATCTTGAATGCGTTAAATCAATCAAGTTACGGCACCATTAACCAAATGGCAAAGCATTTGCAATTGTTTCGCCATGCACGCATTTATATCGTTTTTCTTTCGCGCAACACTTTCAATCTATTTTATTTCAAATTCCCCCTAAAACCTTCTATTCTATTACATTTGGTCTCTTGCATTTTATTACAATTTGTGTATTACTTTTATTGCTGTTCGGTTGCTTGTGCTCGCTCGATTGCTTACTTCGTTTTGTGTTTAGTGCATGTCCTGGGAGCGCTGCGTATCTACTAATAGTGTATTTTGTGTTGATGCCACAAATTCCCCGAGCATCAATTGTTTTTAAAGTGCTGCTTTACATTATTTTGTTGTGATCTATGACGGCGGGCGGGGGGAGGGTGCGGGGGGGTAATACAAAGACACATGAGAACACTAATACATTTAGCTGCCACTGCAGCAGCCCCCTTAAGCTGAAATGCCATTCAAGTGCTACAAAGTTGCAGCCGTGTACATATGTATGCACGTACATATATTGTAAAGCCGAAAAACTGCACTGACACATGATGCTGATATGCAACGTCATCATCAGCAGCCTCACGAGCGAGCAAATGTACGCAAACTGAGCTGGAGTGTTCACATAATCGACGTATGGCAATCATCGTCATCATCATCATCATCATCATCAGAAACTTGGTTCGAGAGAAAAAAATGCTAATGTTTTCCTACACCGGATACCTTGACTCGACACTATACCTACATACACACATGCATATGTACACAAACTAATGCATACATAGACTATGTATAAAAGAAAGTGCAGTGAAAAGTAAGGGCGGCAAAAATATATTGCAAGTCCTTTTTGGATAACATTAGAAATGTATTCCAAGCATTCCCGCCGGTATCAAGTTGACGGAGGGAGAGCCATGCACATTTTTACCGGTAAATATTTTTCTTTCCTTTTTGCAAATACTTTTCTCTTTCAACATTTGGCATACCCGCTGCGTGCCTGGGGCTGGGAGCTTGTGGAGCACGTGCAGCTGTCAGTACTTTACCTGAGCTACCTCGGCAACCTCAATCGACTCAAACCAAACCCGCAACTCTAAAACAACTAAGGTAATGTATGTAGCAAGTTTTACTTGGCTGTCAGCTGCCGTTCTGTGCTATTATGTATGCAAATCATGCAGTGGTGGCACGCAGTAATAGAAAGAAATGTGGGACGAATTGCACGAGAGACGAGGAGCAATGAATTGTTGTAAAGGAGATCAAAAAATGAAATTAGAGTAGTAAACAAAATGACGAACGTTGAATCTACCCAAAATATTTGGGAAATAAGGTTAAAAATATAAACAAAAATAAGAAAGAAAACAAGAAAACTAAACAAATTGGAGGCCTTCGAGATTCCGTGGCAGTAAAAAAGTTGGAGCGAAACGCATCTCCAATATCAACGATCTCACTAGCCACATAAATGAGCAGCTGGTGCGAATCCGTTAGATTTGAATAGGTACATACTACATATCGCATGTTTAATAATATAGGGATGTGACTCAAAATTTACGTTTTTTGAGGATTTCATCATACAATTTATAAGCTTGCAAGCAGAATATGTTCAACCTAACATATGACTAAACCTCCCAAAAATGGCAGAGATATGTGTCTTTCCATTTATCTCCTCATATACCAACTATATAAATTGATCAAACTTTGATTGCGTTCTCCCACAAAATAGCAATTTTTAAGTAATTCTGTATATTATTAAACGTGCTATATGTATATTATATACATTAGGGCGGAGTAATTTTTTAGTAACAAAATTTTCGGAAAAAAGTGGATAGCAAGTTCAAGTTCTCCGATTAATTCTAAGCAAAAATGGCGAACAAACTCTATACCAAAAATGAAGTTTGACCCACCCGATTTTCAAAAGAAAGGCAATATAATGTTGGAGAAAACACAAAATTTGGTAAATAAAAAATTTTTTTCGTTCAGAAAAAATTATAATACACTGATTTTTCTTTTAGAAATTTGGTGTGTCAATCGTCATTTTTGGTAGGAATCGAACGTAGAATTGGAATATGCTATACAATTTCTCCGAAATTAAATTATTCCGCCCTAATATAGATATGTAAAAGGTGAATAGTTACTAGAGTCCGAGCGATTAATTGGCCGATTCCGAGGCTAGTATCGGCCAAAAGATTCGGCATCGATCGTTTTTGGCCGATTATTGAATGAGGTAAAGTTATTTAGTTTATTGATATGTTTTTCTTTTGTTATTGTAAAAGTTTATAAACGCATTTGTGCCTGAAATTATTTATTGAAATTAATTTATATTCAGGATTTAAACGGCCGAAGTATCGGCCGATTCTATGCCGATTAAATGCTGAATATAAATTAATTTTAAGAGCAAATGATTTTCTAAACTTTTATAATAACAAATGAAAAATATAATCAAATAATATTACCTCATTTAAGAATCGGCCAAAAACGGCCGATGCCGATTCTTTTGTCCGATACTAGCCTCGGCATCGGCCGATTAATTGGTCGGTCTCTAATAGTTACTCTAACAAAAAACTATGATAAATGTGGTAATATCGAAGATGAGGTGAATGCGAAGTTTGCTGTGAGAATGGATGTAAGAAAATTTTGACATTTTTACAAAATTTTTACCAAATTATACTAATTTTAGAAGCTCGGAGGAGAAGCTCGGCCAAACACTAACATATGTGTAAGCGCCAATCTATTATTATTATTATATTATTATACTAATTTTATGCGAAACAAAAAAAAAATATTTTAGTTTCAAATATTACCTGTAACTTGAGTATTTATAAAGTAAAGTTCTTACCTGAAAAGAGAGGAAAAATAAAGTTCATTATTAAAAAAAACATTCACGCTAAACAACTGATTTTATACTAAAAATAAGCACAAGTTTTTGTATCGAATAATAATCTGCTGAGAATCAAAACTAAAGATAATGGGTGACACGGTGAGTAATCGCGTCTAAAAGCTGGATTTTGCTAGACTTAAACTTGGCTGGACTTATGTAGAAACTTAGACGCGATTACTCAGCGTGTCACCTATTAACTTTCCCTTTCTTTTGATTCTCAGCACTTGTATTTGTACACGTAAAATTGTAAACGTTTAATTTTTTTTTACACCAAAATTTACACAAAATTACCATTAAAATAATTGTATTTACGCGTATCAAATTGTAATTGCCTTTATTTAATTTTCTGCTTTTAATTGAAAGTTTGTTATTCGATTGCCTCATAAATTACATGTATTCAAAAAATTATATTTCCCTGGCATATTTGTAGGGAATTTATTAAAAAATTAAATGGCAGCATGATTTTCTCATATTTCATTTTATAATAAGAAAGTCAATCGAGCAGAGAAGATTATATAATTCCGTAGTTTTAAACGCCCTAAATGCCTTAATTTGTTTGGAAAAATTATATAGATATAGTAAAATGAGCGCAGAAATATGCATAACATAACATTTCAAAACTATTTTGAATATTTGTATAAAAACGTGGCGTGAAACCCGCATATGGAGGCTAGTATTTATTACTCTAAAAAAATTCTAAGGTTTCGCATTTTTTGTTTTTTATTTTCAAAATTTGTATGCCCTCAACCACCTGCACTATTATGCCAAGCAAATATGGATACGTATGAATCCGTATATCAATCAACACGTAGTACATCTGCATTTATGTATATTAAGGCGAAACTTTTCACTGAGTATTGCACCTATTGCACTCATATTTCAATGGAATTGTATCGGTTGGAGTTCATAAAACTTTGTATATTATTTGTATTGCTGGTATGTTAGTTTGTGAGCGGAGTTATCGGTGATATATCTGTGCAATGCAATGCTGCTCTAACGTGACATTTCTTCTTGTTTTCATGTACTCGCATGAGTTGGTGCATCATTGTGCTGTGAGCATTCACACAGCCGCCTGACTAGTTGTCAATAAGGTAAAAATTGCACACATGAAATACGGATGTACAAATATAAAAACATTTTTTCCCTCAATCCCAATTTTTGCAATGCTTTCTCTGTCGATACACACACGAGCTAAACAATTTTGTATTTATTTTTCTACATGTGGCTGCCTCATTCAATGAATGCTCTTAGTGCGTTCTTTTTTTTATCCGACTGCCTATCTGCCGTTGTTGTCTATTTATATTTACATAGTTGTTTGTTGTGCAATCGGCAACCAAATATTGGAAGTAATCCAACCGAACTGGAGTAAAAAGTAAATTGTTATTCTCTTTTAGTTCGTTACTCAATACGTTCTTAAAAATTGCTTGTTTTTTGAGGAAAAGAGAACGGAATATTAAAAATGAATAAAACTTTGGCGAAAATAGTTATGTACATGGGATGTTACATGGAAATGAAGAAATCAACTTTCCTGAACATCAATTGAAATGCAATAAATTTCGTAAAACTTTCTCTATTGATTTCGATCTAAAAATGAGCATTGAAATAAAAATACCTTATATAAGTAAGGAAAATTGATAAAAATAATGCGATTACAGTTCCAATTTTTATTTATTTTTGTTAAGTTTGACTGCCTAACTAACTACTCCAGCACTTCCCCAAACGTACATTTTCCTAACTATTCTTCAGTTTGTCCATGTGCACCTTATTTCAAATACAAATATGCATCTTTTTTTTACCCATAAATATGTCAAATAAATTACAGCACAAGTCAAGTTGCATGCAACCTATCAAATGCGGGAATAACGAAGCGTAACAGAAGCAAATATTGTAAAAATAGAAAGCAGCAAAAGCGTACAACTGATGCAACAGCAGCGGTTGCTCTGTCGACATGTATGTGTATATATTTATGTATCATACTCAGTACAAATGTATGTAAATATGTATCGTAAGTTGCATTTGTGTACTTTTTTTGTTACTCCACTTCGAACAAACAGTGGGTACAACAAATTCTCCAATATGGTTTTGGCCTTACCCATACTTGCTTTTCAATATTTGTCTTGAAATTTATTTCAATAATATTTATGTTTGTCTATATAATTCTTGGCAATGGGTTTGAATTTTTTAAGCCATATTTTATCATTGAGTGCATGTGTCTGTTCCACATACACATATTTTGTGAGTTTTGGTCAAACGAGCGAGAATAATGTTTGTTTTCCTGTTTATATTTACAAATGGTTACAGTTGGTTAGCTAACTGTGCCCAATTTTATTGCAAGTCAATTATGCAATTGCAGTAATATAAATGTACATTTTTTGAGAAGAGTACTATACTATCTACCAGAGACATTTTAAAGCGGCGAAGGGCGAGGTGGCAGTCGAGGTATTAAAACTAGAATAACAAAACTGCTTGAGGCCACAGCGGTGTTGTCACTTCAGAAATTAAATTAGTGGTAGATTATCAATAAAAAAAAGTGGTAAATCTCTGGAAAAAAAAATTGCCAAAAAAAAGATATATCAAGCCATGAAGCAGTATTCAAATATAGATAAATTGCATTCTTAGTTTTGTTCTATCGCGCCATTTTTTCCTTGCCTACTAAGGTTTTCATTTTTATTGCCTTAGAGGGTACACACATATATCTTTGTCATAAAAAAAATCCTATTTCTAATATTTGCAATAAGTTCTTAAGTGTTGTTTTCTGTGGAAATACTGTTGGTAAGCACACTTCACAGGCGTATTCTTGGGCGATGTCGAATCTCTAAGAAAATCGCCTTATTTAAGTGCAGATTATCATTCACGCACGCAATAGAAATTTTGAAACGGCAGCACCTTCAGCTCTTCAATTAACACAAAATTCACAATAAAATTTCTTGACATTTAAATTCATATCGAGGAGAAAATGGACTGTTCAACTCTTATGAAAAAAAAACATTTTTAAAATTAGGTTAATAATTTTATTTCAGTAAAATTGTGGTAGTTTTTTAAAATATGTGCTAGTTGTGGTAGAAGTGAAAAATTACCCAAAATGTGGTAGATCTATCACAATTGCGGTAAAGTGGCAACACTGGGCCACAAATGAAATTTTTCCATATTTTTAGTGCAATACACGCTGGCCGCACAAAAAGTGATTTAAACTAAAGCAATGTCACTAATTAATCTAATATCTCAGAGACCTTTACAAGAACGCTTTATTTTAGAATTTTATTGAAAAACATCCTATCACAAAATTTGGTTCAAAAGCACCCTATCTAACTTCAAAATGTATTGAAAATGTGCTCATATAGGGCGTTTTTGAATCGGCAACTGAGATAGGGCGTTTTTCAAAGAAATTCTGAAACAGGACATTCTTCAAACAAATTCTGAAATAAGGCGTTCCGGAAAAGGTTTTTGAGATAGGGCGTTTTCGAACTGGCGGCCGAGATATAGGTCGATCTTCCACTCAGTAGTCGATATATAAGTCCACCATAAAATATTTACTTAAAAACTAACTAAGTCCGTATGGTGTTTTTCGAGCGTGCTTAACTGCAACATAAAGACTTATTTATTTTTAATATGGCTTAACTTTTCATGGCCTTTTCTTTGCAAAATGCTTGCATGGTTGATTTTTTAAACATTTGTAAAGTTTTGCCTAAGCTACTTGAGATAGACATCTAGAAAAGAAAGAACCACAATTTCCCAAAATTTTATTAAGGTACAGTTAGGCAGGTTTGCTATGTATCGACTTGTACGTCAAGATGTGAACATCGGACGATATTTTGCCGATCAATTTGCTACTATGTATGAGGCAAGTCGCAAGGAATGGAATGTAAAATTCGATTTTTGGAACTCGAGAGGGTTGTGCACCCGCCGCCATCTTGAAAACAACGTTCTAAGTTTTAGTATTGTTTTAGTATGGTATTACATATTTGATCTTAGTGATGCTCAAAATATATGTATACTTAGACAAATATGTACCACAGACTGGTTTGAACAAATCGACTTGTTTTTGTTTTAAATCCATTGTGAAATATTTTCGAGACAGTGCAAAAAGATGCCTGTGAAAAAGCGCAGCTCTTAGTATTAAGATTTATAGGTCGCCTATCGCGAATATCTATTTTCTATATAAATCACAACGGAACAATTTTTTTCAATTTTGAAATTTTCTAACTCTCTTCTAACTCAACGATTAAGTGATATACATATACAGTCAATGTAAGTGTTGTTCTATAATATATTAATATATATTCACAATTATTTTCAAGGAAAATTTGGTTCATTAATTATTTATGAAAATATAGTTCATTCTATAACATAAACCATATAAAATTTTTTTTTCCGACTTAAACATTGAATGACTTTTGGAGGAGTGAATTTATGGAAAAACTATAAACGACTTTTTGACATCCTTCAGTTTCCTTCCAAAATATATATCGCTCATTCCGATACTTTGAGCTAAAACCCGAGTTAGTAAATTTCAAATTGTTTTCCTGTGTTATTTAAATGGAAAATAGAAATTCACAATGAGCGACGTCTCAATCTTAATATCAAAGGTTGCGCATCTGACAGTCACCTTATTTGACTGTTCTCAAAAAAAAATGTCACAAGTAAATAAAAAAAAAAAAATAAAATAAATAGTTAATTTTTTGAACCAGTCTAATGTACAAATATCTGCATATTGTGAGCTTTTTGCACTTTTTTTTTGCAATAAGTTGCGGTTTTGCAAGTTTATTTATGTACATGTTTTAAATGGAAGAGGAAGGTTTGAAAATTTGCAACATTCTTGTGGCCCATTATTTGTGTATGTAAATGTCTTTCATTTGAATATCTGTTAGATATTTGGAGAACGAAAACAGTCAAGAAACATTTGTCACAATAAGTTGTATATAGCAACAATTTGCAAACATCTATTCATAAACACTGTT